AACCCCTTTTTTCAAGAGCTGATCTCCACACTTTTAGCCTTTGATTAATTTCCTCCCTATTTTCTCCTATTAACACTATATCATCACCAAACAATATGCACCACTCCTTGTATTTCTCTAGTAATTTTATCCGTCACTATAGAAAATAAGTAAGGGCTTAAAGCAGAACCTTGAGGAAGACCTACTCTTACCCGAAAATCTTCTGATATTCCTCCTACGCTTTTAACCCTGCTACAAGTGCCATCATACATATCCTCCATTATATTAATGTACCTTTTCGGGACTTCTTTTCTCATTAATGCCCACTTTAGAACCTCTCTCGGTACTCTATCATACGCTTTCTCCAAATCTATAAATTCCATACAAAGCTTTTCTATTAGTTGCCTCAAACAAAATAATGGCTCCATTGTCGACTTACCAGGCAGAAATCCAAACTGGTTTTTAGATACCGATGTCTCATTTCTTACTCTCTTATCAATTACCTTTTCCCATATTTTCATACTATAACTCATAAACTTTATACCTCTATAAATCTGATTCAATAGATTAGCTTACTAGGAAACGNAAACCCCTTTTTTCAAGAGCTGATCTCCACACTTTTAGCCTTTGATTAATTTCCTCCCTATTTTCTCCTATTAACACTATATTGTCACTAGTATATATATATGGCACTAGTAATTTTATCCATCACTATAGAAAATAAGTAAGGATTCAGTAAATCAGTTATGGAACCTTCAAATATTAATTTTCTTTTATTTAATTCTTCTGATAATGAATTATATGAAGCTTTTTTAATCCACTGTACTAAGTCAGTAGAGTATTGAATAATTTTATTTTGATCTTGGTGCTTTTTTTCCATTAAAATATTATGAGGAAGGGGAAAAAAAATTTTTATATGTATTATTATTTTATATTTAAAAAAAATTGTTAAGAAAAGGTTGAGAGAAAAAAAACTATAATAATTTATTTTAGACGTTTTATCTATATATTATTTGTATTATTATTGGATTTTTTTGAAGTTTATTGCGTTACTACGTTACTTTTCAGAATAATTTCGGCATAAAATCTTTGGTAAAGTTAATTTTGCTCATAATTTACATATTGTAAATATTGGTTTGTATCTTCAAATGTCTATCGCTTTGCTATCTTTTTTAGTAATATTTTTATCATTACACAAATATAGAATTAAAAGAAAATGGAAAAAGAATATTTAATGTATCGATAGAAACTACTAGTGTATTGTACTAAAACGGGAAAAACTTATGTATAGTTACGTCCCCTAAACATTAATGAATCATAGCTCGCTGATAATTCAATAAAATAAAAAAATTTTTTANGATTTCTTTCAACGATACGTCAAAAGATCACAAATCGTATCTAGTCGAAGACATTACCCTTCAAAATTGAAAAAATTTCCCCGTTCCCCGTAAATGGGGATAAACCTCCAAAAAAATTACAAATTTAAAAATCGCTAATTTTCGAAATTTTTTCAATTTTTTTTACTAAAAACTGCCGTAACTTTTTCAAAAATGAACATATCAATATAATTTTTTTTTATATAGATGCTTGATGTCTTTACCTATCATTTGGTATATTTTTTTTGTAAATCTGACACTTAACCTGCCCACAGGGGGGGATTTAAAATGACAACTTTTTCACAAAAAATTTACTTTTTCAACATAACTTTTGAAAATGTTCCGGAAGGTCTGACACTTTTATATATATCTTAAATTAAAGCTAATGTAATATACTTTAATTTGAAAAAAAAAAATTTGACCTCTGGACTTGTCTTCATGGTGAAAACGGCTACCGAATGCTATTTTTGTGTGAAAATTTTCGATTTTATAATTTACATTTTTTACTTTAAAGTGCTATAACTTTTTAAAAAATGTATGGATCAATACAATTTTTTCATGAGAAGTAGTATTTATATACATCTTTCATTGGATATACTTTTTTTTTAAATCAGACTATTTCCCTATATATGGGGGGGCTTCAAATATAAAAAATGCATATAAAAAGTAGAACTTTTTCAACTTAACCTTTGAAAGTGTTCCGGAAAGTCTGACACTTTTACATATATCTTAAATTGAAGTTTATGTAATATACTTTAATTT